GTTTTCATTTTGTCACCCTATAGCCCATGAGTGGGGAAAAATAAAGAGTGTTAATATGCATGAGTGGAAAACTTCAGTGTAAATATTTTAACAATGAAGACTTGTGAAATGCATTACTTGCTTTTCAATGTAATATAAGACGCTACTACATGTTTATACACCTCCATTTCAATATCAATACTGCACAATTGAGCACCATTTTACTGTTAAAGTCTTCTTTAGCTAATTCTTTAATCGTATATGGTGTATGGCTTTCAAAACTGCAGGAGGAAGGACCACACAAGCAAAAGGGGATATTTAAGTTGCAAAGTCACATTTCCTCTGAATGGTGGGGGATTAGAGTTGAGTTATAAGGCCAAACCTCTAGGCTGTTTGCGGAAATAAATATGTAACTCCAGGGCAAGAAACGAGCTTTAACTACACACTGCTAGCTAAATAAAACTAATGTTATAATGGTGTATTTGCTGACAGTAAACTCCATTTCCCGAAATGTGTGGGAAGTGGAGGTTGCAGCAACAGTAGTTGTCCAACCAGCCACCGGACTCCGGCTGTAAACCGATGAGACCACCGTTTCGTAAAGTCACGGTGATTCAGCAATAAACCGCCTGCTCAGCTCTGCCGACACTGCAAGTCAGTCTAAAGCCCGGACACCCGGCCGCGACCGCGTCTTTCTTTATTTGTCCAAACAGCCATGTTTCAGATTGACTATGAATTTCACTTTAGAAGAAGAAGTACTTTTGGACTTTTTCAACAAGTGAACACAGCACTGCTAAATGCAAGCTACAGCTAACACCGTTTAACACCAGAACATCTACTCTGTTTAAATTATTAAATAACAGCACTAACACAAACCACTCCTGGAAAATATTTATTCATGTAACTACGTCCAGAATCCACCCTTATCCTTGTAGGGAGCTGAGCTGGCCAGCTCCGGGTGAAGGCGCTGCTGCTATAGTAAATAGCGACCACCAGTGCCTACGACATCCATTTTACTAAGACTTTAAAGAATCCGTTTAAATTGTTTTGAAGCATTCAGTTACAGGCGGAAGCGACAATCCCCTCCGGCTGTCAAATACTACGAGTATAAGAGCTTCAATAAGAAGAGCGGGACCAAATTATCCGCGTCCACTTTAACATGCTAGTAATGTCTACTGTTAGCACCTAGCATCAACGGTCTCTGTCGAGCTAAAGGAGATTAAAACAAACATCTGCTTCACTTGTCCTTGGTTGGCTGTCAAGTCCCCGACGGACACCAGTCCTCTACTCTTCCGCTCTTACAAATGAATTTCAACTAAATTTTAGCCTTTATGGTAAATGGTAATTTACCTGCTGGATCGAAGCGACTCTGGCGACAAAATGTCAGTCCGCCTTTTCCCGGAATTACTCCGCTGCTCTCTGAGGCTGGATTCTTTCATTCATAAAAAACACTCGCGACAATGACGTCAGGCCTAAAGAATGAGGGCGGAGCTAACCCCGCCCCCGCGGTGTACTCCAGGAAGATGTAAACAGGGAATCCCTGAATCCCAGAACTTTTCCATGACCAGCCCCCTTTCACTGCTCCCAACAAGAGGCTGTTCTCAAGAGCAAGACAGCAATACTGGGAGAGGGCTTGAAGTCACTCTTTACTGGATGAAAAAATTGGGGAAAAAGATGAAATGAAGAGCAGAAAAAGACAACAAATTAATGGACAGGGAGGAGAGATAAATATCTTTTCAACAGTTACCTTTCCCTCTAGTAAAAATAGCCCAAGGCTTTAAATATAACTCATTTTTCTTGAGATAATAAAACCTGAATTTTGGAATCAGGGGCAAAGCTGTCACTTTGAAGTAAGTTGTACATTTGGAGTGTTTGCCATGAACTGGTTTCCTCTTGGTGGCTGGTGGGCTGCTGATAATCACTTTTATTGGCCAAGCAGGTTATACACACAGGGAATTAGTCTCTGCAGCGCCAACTTACACACTCACTGATGGCAGCGCTGTCCCTGCAAGGCGCTCCTCTGGCTTTCAGCGCCAGTTAGGGGATGGCCAGTCTACCTCCTGAACCACAGCCAACAGAAGCCAAGACCTTCCTGTGAACATTGGTTTCTGGTGTCACAGCTCTGACCTTTTGTACACTGACCATTCACCTCCATATGACTGAACTGGTGTCACTTTGACTCATAAGGGAAAATGTCAACATTTTTACACTTTTATATTTTCGGCTCCACTGAGTATCAAAACAGTGGAATATTTCACCAATATTTGGCTAACAAGCCAAAAGGTAGGCCTACACCTCTATGTTGTTGTGTAGGCTACTTCATTACATTTCTAAATATTTGCTGGTGTTCCAAAATGGAATTAATGTATAACAACTTTTTCATGTTCTCCCAATCCTTAACAGCATTCTCGGTCCTGCATGCTCTAACAATGCTAATTTACTGTCTTATCAATATAAAGGGGTTTTTACCAGTGCTCTATAGTACTTGTGAGTGATTGATGCTCTACACAAGTCGTCCTCTGAACAAATATTAATATCTTTAATAGTTATAAAAAATTGAGGTTATGCTTAGACCTTAAATAAGATGTTCAGGAGCCCTGGAGTTCACAATAAGCACAAGTATTTTCAGCCAGCCAGGCACTTTTTGAGTACACGAACCGATATTAGACAGTCTATACGATAGGTGGCGCTGTTTAATTTTTTGGTGAAATATAAACTGACCCCTGTGTCGTCATCCCGATTTCCGGTGCCTGGCGGTTTTCACGTTTTCTTACTTTGACCTCAGTCGTTACCCAGATGCATGCTCCCTAACCCGCATTAGCTTTACTGAAAGTCGGTGGGAAATCATCAGAAACACTCTAAACGGACAGTCGGCTTTACTGTGTTTTCTAGCGACTTGTTCGCCGCGCACGCAGCTGATTGAACCCGGCAGAGGAGCATGGCTGCAATCGAGGAGCTTTCCCCTGCTGCGGGCCCGACGTCTACTCGGCCCCTCGAGGATGAGATTGATGACGATGAGGATGAAGACGTATGTTTTTAATCATTCATGGCGACTTCAGACATGTGGATGAGAATAAACATCGATACAGAGTCGCAGTCTTTTGTTTCTAGCTTGCAGTTTTTTGCGAGCCAGCTAACATGGTTGCACCAAAGCTGACAGTTAGCAAGCTACTTTAGCTAGCCCAGCTGTTTAACTTCGGCAAACTTGTATGAGTTTGTAGACCGTGGCACGCATACAAAATGAAGTAGTTAGTAGTATTAGTTATTGCAAGTAACAGTTAATTTCATGATTGTCATTACTTTGATCAATTGAAAACCCATTGCAGTTAACATTAAGCAGACTGACTTGGTAAACTTCGATAGAAAAGTTGTATTTATTAAAATTGTACGTGCTAAATTGATGTCTATTTTTGCCTGTTGTCAGGAGATATGTTGCTTGATTGCTAACTCCCAGCCTGATTGTTATAAGGATTTGTGCATATTGCTTGTATTTGTTTTCTTAAGATGGATGAAACACTGACGGAGAGGCTGTGGGGCCTGACAGAGATGTTTCCTGACACAGTTCGCATAGCTGCTGAGGTTTCAGCACAATATTCTGTCTCACTGGTCAAGAAGTTCTATAGGTATATCTGTTGCATGTTTTGCTCTCAGCCTATCTTTGCCTGAGTTCTTACAGTCTGGTTCCCATGATTGTACAGATTATTGCTCATTCTTAATTGGATTTTGTCACAGTATCATCCATCTTGCCTTGCATTCTTGAGAGAGACACCACTTCCAAATGGTTGCACATTATTGATTCTGCTAGTGCCATTTCATAGAGTATATTTATTTGTACCAGGGAATGACAGATCTTAGTACATCAGTGACTAAAGACGCTAACTTGTTTCAGTTTTTCTCGCGCTGCACTTTGGGTCGGTACTACCTCTTTCATGATCCTGGTGCTGCCTGTGGTGTTTGAGACAGAGAGACTACAGATGGAGCAGCAGCAGATACAACAGCAGAGACAGGTGAGTGTTTGTGTGTATGTGCTTTAAGTAAAAGCTGAGAGAGCAGAGGCACAAGAGATGGTTCAGGTGAACAACCACAAAACATGGTTTTACTGCTGTGGGTAAGTGATTACTGATATGGGCTAAGGGGGTGGATGCATTATGAACAGAAATGATACATTGTAATGAAAAAGCCCTGCATATAAAAGTACACAGATAAACTTAATAATTGAGTGTTTCCCTTCTAGATCCTGTTGGGGCCCAACACTGGAATATCTGGTGGGATGCCAAGCATGATGCCCACAGCACCCGGCAAGATGTGAGTGACAGGAAGGGCCAACATGAACCTGTGAAATCTGCTGCTAGCAATAGAGCAGGGCCAATCGCAAGGAGAGACAGAGAGACTATGTAGAAGTCCAAAGGACTGTGGTTTAAAAAAAAACAACATTAGGCCTAATCAAGTGGATGTGATGCATGTTTGACACCTCTACTCTCTCCCCTAACTCCAACATAATGCAGAGGCTGATGTCCAAAAGAAGTGTTTCAGTTTTCTTTCTTTTTTCCTTTTTAAAATAAACCATTATCTCAGTGTAAATGTGTTCTTTAGGGGAAAACAGGTACAGGTAGATAAATGGGAAAAAAAAGGTCTGGAGGGTTACCAATTGTGCAGCTCAGTCTGAAAATGTTAATATACTTTTTTTTGTTCACAGTCTTGTCCATCATCATGCACTTGTTTCTTCCACTTGTATGTGGAGAATACAGGGGAGTGTGAATTGTGACAAGTGTAGCATATCGTAGACAATATTAAATGATAGGAATGTCATCTACTGAATGCCTTTTTGAAGTTGAACAGTAAATTGCATCCTTTTTTATGCAGTGCATGTATGTGCATTTGTCACAGTTCACAAAGTGCAATGCCTCTCACTTCAGAATAGGTGCGATTAATGGTTTTATTGTATTTTTCTGATTTTAAACAATAGGTTGTATAAGGAAGTAACACCAGATTTCATGCTGTACAGTTATTGAGAGATTTTCCTTTTCATTGGTGGTATGTGAAATGCAACATTTTATTGTCCTTAAGGACAGGAGATGTAAGTTTTTGGGTAAATGCAGTTGTGTTGGTTGATAAAGGTTTGATGGTAAATGTCTCATAATTGCCCTGACAAGTCCTGTCTTGGAATGTTTTGTTTTCTGTCATCCATGCAACAGTTTTCAGTCTTAAATCTCTCCCATGTTGTTTTTTGTAATCATAATGACTGTGGTAATTAAAATAGCAAATCAAACTGAAGAGCTGTTTTCTGTTAGCAGGTTTGTTCAGCTGTATTTGACCAGTTACTTAACTGCACATAAGCCATTAAAGAGAAATGACCAGAATAAATTGCATGAAAAATGTCAACAAGTAAGCAAATGCATGTCAAAGTAATGTCTCATATTGAATTTAATATTATTTTCTTTACAAACAGCAAAGTTTGGCTGAAAATCAATTAAAATGCCCTGTATTTTTCATATATATTTTACTTCTAATAGCAGGAAGGTGCAACTAATTCATGGTTATGAGTATAGAGATGTAACAAGAGCATATAAATGTTATACAGCCATAATTCATGGTATTAATAAGATGTGACCATACCTGCAGTGTAAAAGGCCCATTAATGTAGATGTGATGGTGAAGTTTATTATGGTCATTTTTACATCACACCACAAATTCAGATCCAGAAAATAAAGAATATCTTTTCACGTACATTTTTTAAATACATGCGTAAAATACTGCTTTCAGTGCTCCTTTTCAACTTCTGGTCTTCAGGGTGTCCTTTGTAAGGGCAATTTAGCTCCCAGCAGTAACAAGTTCTTCTTCTTATGACGTTTATTGGCGGTTTGCAGGCCAACCTAAGGTGCGTTACCGCCACCTGCTGGTGCAGTAACGTTGTTACGTCACACCTTTTATGGAAGTTCAAACCTGTTCCAGATCATATTATGGATCATAAATGTTCATTCGCGTACTGAAGTGCGCCATCTTGGCTAAAGCAAAAAGTATTTGAGATTGACGCTTAGTCATGTTATGTTCGTTCAGGATAAAATTATAATTTCCAGATGTACATGAATACGTCTTAGGTCAGAAATTCCCGCCAGTTGACGAAAGCAACTTGTTTGGCTAAAGAACAACAGGGGAGCTAACCTTAGCTTTTCTGCCACAAGTTAATATTACTGAATATTTCTTTGTCTTGTGAGTTGGCGAAAAATTCGAGTAAGCGAACAGCTTTCAGTTCATTTAGAAAGCTTAACATAAGCTAGCTAACTTAGTTAAGGTTGGCTAAAGGCTAACTGATCCAGGAAAATAGGGATACTATAGTGAAAATGAAAGCTGCTGAGGATCAGGTTGTTGAAGATGACGCTAGTTTCCATGATGATGAGGTGAGATATGTTATTTCAAATAATATTTGTCTTTGCTGTTCAGCCAGCTTACTAGCTAACAGTGGCCTTCAGTGGTTAGTTAAGGTTCACTTCAATTTATGTCACATAATACAATAAGTTTCAGACTGTTATATGAAACTGCCACAGCTGAGAACCTACATTACCCAAATTCATAATTTATTCACAATATAAAAAAAATACAATCACACAAGCATTTGGAGATGACACAAAAACAGCAGTAGTCTCTTCAATACTCAAGTTTATTCTTCAGCAACAATCACAGTAAGTTTTTCTCCAACCTTAACAGGAATCCTTCTTCCAAGACATTGACCTCCTGCAGAAGCATGGCATTGTGAGTAAACACCGGGGCTGAAACATGCTCCATGATGTCTCATCAAATCAAAAGTCAGCTGTGTATGTGATCATCTCTGTCCCTCCCCACCTGTAAGCACAGAATATGGCAGACATCAAAAAGATGAAGTCAGTGGGTATCTGCACTGTGAAAGGGATTCAGATGACTACACGCAAAGCATTATGCAATATCAAGGGCCTGTCAGAAGCAAAAGTGGAAAAAATCAAGGAAGCTGCAGGGAAAATACTGGTACCAAAGGTTTTTCTACTGAGAATACATCAACCTTTGCTATTTTTTCCAATTAGGACCAGTTTAAAACTGATATTAACAAAATAATTTGCAAATATAATATCATTTTATGTACATTATAGAATGTCGGTTTCCAGACAGCCTTTGAGTACAGTGCGAAGAGGAAGCAAGTGTTTCACATCACAACTGGGAGCCAGGAGTTTGAGTTAAGATTTACTGTTTATATTGATACCATGCAGACTGTATGAGTTGCACTGCTGAACACATAGTCATGTAATACTGATACTGTAAGAGCATGTTATATCCAATAGCTTCTTGCCTATTATTAGGCTGTACAAGATGTACTGGGACTTAAAAATTGTTGTTTGAAGGTTCAATTATACTGTAATATGTATTCAGCTCATGAAGTTGTGAAACTTGGGCATTTTGATATTTACCAGCAGGCACTTGATGGTTGAAAATAAAATAAATAGTTTTTTTGATAGTGTGTCTGTTTACATATCCCTATAAATCTGATCTCTGCAGCAAACTGTTGGGTGGAGGTATAGAGAGCATGGCTATCACAGAGGCCTTTGGAGGTGAGGAGCCTAGTGGTAAATTCATCAAATGTCACTCAGTTAGCTGCACTTGTTCAAAGATCCCTGCATTTTTTCATCAGAGTTCCGCACAGGGAAAACCCAGCTGTCTCACACACTTTGTGGTGAGTTATGAGTCATTTTTAAAAATGTCTGCTCTAATGTGGTTAATAAAACATCATTGTACAAATCATATACATTGAATAAAACACTTGTTTTTTTTACCCAGTCACTGCTCAACTGCCAGGCGAGGATGGATACTCAGGCGGGAAAGTTATCTTCATTGACACAGAGCACACCTTGTATCCTCACATGGAGGAGGACCAACTGGACCAACTGCATAACATTTAAACCTCAGACTTTCATGAAGTATTGTTGTATTTGTTGTCCCAGTAAGAACCTTGGTTACACAACCATGGTCTACAGATTGTCCCATACATGACGTCATACATTGGAGACATTTTTTTCAGCAGGTGGCATAATATGATTATACAATGTCTTCCCATGTGCCTATCAGTGTGCTTTCTTCTTGTTATTCTGTTTCACATTATCCTTGACTTGCACCTGTTTGGTTCCAGTCGTCCAGACAGACTGAGAGACATCGCTGACAGGTTTAATGTGGACCATGATGCTGTGCTGGACAACGTGCTTTACGCACGGGCCTATACCAGTGCGAACAAATAGCTCATTTAGACCAGAAAACTTTGATACATTTGATCCAAATTTGATGCAAAGACAGGGCAGTTTGTATTTGAACCAGTAGTTTAAGTTATGTCATGCTCACTCTTCAGGTGAACACCAGATGGAGCTGTTGGACTTTGTAGCAGCTAAATTCCATGAGGAAGGAGGAGTCTTCAAATTGTTGGTGAGGAAAAAAAGGATAAACTCAATGTGAAACTGAAGGTTTATAGTGAATTTATCCTGGTGTGTTTGTTTTTTTAAGTGATTGTGATCAGCAACAGGTATGATTTCCAAAAGCAGTGATTTCCAGCTTCCAACCTTTCATTCTCCTTGTCTGCTCCTCCTTGGCGTCAGATCATCGACTCCATCATGGCTCTGTTCAGAGTGGACTTCTCTGGTCGAGGAGAGCTGGCTGAGCGGCAGCAGAAACTGGCCCAAATGCTCTCCAGGCTGCAAAAGATCTCTGAAGGTCTGAGCCATGCATTTTTGTAAATGCCACAAAAATATCAGCCATATCTCATCTAAGATGTACAGAAATGTCTGCAAAAAAGCAGTGTTGTTGTTTATCGACTAATTCAGCCTCTGTGTTTCTCAGTTGATAACTTAAAGCATACATAAGGTATAAATGAATAATGTTCCTTCTAATGCCAGTGTATCTTATTGGCTTTCATTTATGTTTACCTTAGAGTACAATGTAGCTGTGTTCATCACCAATCAAATGACAGCTGATCCCGGTGCGGGAATGACGTAAGAAATCCTGTCATTCTGAATAAATAGGACAAGCTTTGTGCTATAATATGGTAAAACCTTTGGAGCAACATTGTCTGAACTTTGATAAGAACATTTTACTTCTTCATTAGGTTTCAGGCTGATCCTAAGAAGCCCATAGGGGGGCACATCCTAGCCCACGCCTCCACCACGCGCATCAGCTTGAGGAAGGGGCGTGGTGAGATGAGAATTGCTAAGATATTTGACAGGTATTTGGCAGATTTAGTGGCATTTCAGTGTCAGTGAAAACTCATTAAAAGGTTTTAATATTGTTTTACCTAAATTCAGAGAAGGTTAGGTTGAGTTTTATCAGTCTTTTCATTATAATTATTATTCAGTTTCAATTCATCCATCCATCCATTTTCTTCCGCTTATCCGGGGCCGGGTCGCGGGGGCAGCAGTCTAAGCAAAGATGCCCAGACCTCCCTCTCTCCAGACACTTCCTCCAGCTCCTCCGGGGGAATGCCAAGGCGTTCCCAGGCCAGCCGAGAGACATAGTCCCTCCAGCGTGTCCTGGGTCTTCCCCGGGGCCTCCTCCCCAGTTTCAATTCAGTGAATCATAATAACACATTAGTATCTAAACTGTTGACAAAGCAATTAGTGAGTTTTCTCCATTTAAATTTATTTTAAAAACTTCTTTCTGAAAATGACAGCTGAAGTTTTACTTGACGTTTCCATGTAGTCAGATGAGACAGACATCAACTAGACATTACATAACATTTGATGTTCCTCTCCTACAGGGATGCTGTTTTATCAGAACAAGGTCTTATACCTATCATGTTATTTAGATTTTTTCAAATGCTCAAGGCCTGAAAACAAAACCTTGTTTTTTGTATGTTCTAAAGCAAAATTCCACCCCAAATGTATCTTCTGAATACTAAACACTTTCTTTTTAAGATATGCCCATGTTTGTACCTGCTCTCCAAAAACATAGGCCTACATGCATAAAGATATGAAGACATATTTTAAAATACAACTTTGGTGAGCGATTTGATAAAAAAGTAAGCTTACAATGCATAATATAGGACTTATAGTGCATTCATTTAATGGTAAGTAACAGGAGAAGCTGTGTCTAATGTATAATTTCTCAAAATTAACTTGTGTAAGGTTTGTGGCTAATCTGCTTAGATTTTTGAGAACAGGAATCTGGCATCAGACTAGTGAGATGTTTGGGATTCATGTATGACTGCATGTATCACTTCAACTCTCAGTCACATTTTCACTACTCATGCATCTCTTTTTTCCTGTTTTTGTGTAGTCCTGACATGCCTGAAAATGAGGCCACTTTTGCCATCTCTGGAGGAGGAGTCACTGATGCCAAAGAGTGAAAGATGGAAAGAAGAGAGAGATGTTAGCACAGTTTCCTGTTCCAGTCAGTTTAAAAGTATTTGTAATGGATGCAATTGTTTATTACTATAACTTTGCATAACGTCTAGTGGTTATGCTGACAATTTTTGCACCATTTGATGTATTTATTCTATTTCTATGTGACTGTGGTATTTTCTGGTTCTGAGACTTTAAAATAAACAAAAATAAAACAGCTTGTTGTCTCTTGTGTATAGTTTAATCTGGTGACACTGAGCTAGCTCAGTTTTTAAATTGCAAGGATGATGTATTTTTGTAGGCCAGCCCAGAAGGTAACATCACCCTGGTTCCCTCACAAAAAGCCAATGGGATTTCTCCAGATGCTAATAAGTTCAGGGTCAAACAGTGGAGTGATTAATAAAATTTAACGGGATGGAGATGTAGTAGGTCAAAGACACCAGAAGATGGCAGTAATGCAACGTGTTGGATGCTAACTGCCAATAAACGCCAAAGAACAAGAGGAGGAAGACGTAGCACTACTGGCCTCTAGCGGGGTTTGCAAGACGTGCAGCAGCTGTAGACTCCTTCTCGTCGGCTACAGGATCCATATGCTTGCCAAAGCGAGGCTTAACAAAGCGATGGGAACTTCACCAAACGTGCTGCTAAGAGTCTAAAACACACAAGCTACTAAACGCGTTTTAACGGAACCGTATAAAGCGTCCACATTTGTCGGCTGTGTAAAGACTGTCAACTCAGGAGAAAGCAGCGATGGACCCGAGTGACACAGCCCCGGATTCGTGGGAGCTGGAGGAGGATGCCGAGGCCCCAGCTGCCGCGGCCGGGCTCCAGACCGCCTTCGCCGCCCTTAACGTCAACGCCAAACCATTTGTTCCCAACGTTAACGCCCCGGTGTTTGTACCGAGTTTTCTTCAAACCAGCGCCGTGGAAATGCCGGCTTCGGACGGTAGGTCAATGCCAGGCAGCCGGCTGGAAGTTAGCCTAACTTGCTAGCATGCATGCTAACCCAGCTAAGTTAGCCTTCCGCTCTGCAACTCGCCGTGTCCAGTACAGCGTGTGCCTCACTGATTGCCTTTCCACCAACTAATCAACAAGTCGGCTTGAGTATTAGCTATGTGCTGTAATAGTACAAATGCTGACTTATAACACAGTAACAGTCACAACAAAGAGTAAAACGTGACCACCCCTGTCTAATAAATATTTATGCCAATTTGAAATCCTTTTTGTGTCTCCTCAAAGGTACCTCCGATCCAGTTGCCAGCATGGAGGTGGCAGAAACAGCCGGTATGTATCTACTGCGTACTCCAGGCACGACAGGTTCAGGTTATTACATTACAGCTCTGGCTGCCCGGTAGGTTGTTTCCACGGGACAAGTGGTCGCAGGCTCAGATTTTGAAAATTCATGTCAGACGTCGTGCAGACTAACGCGTGGGTGCTGATTTTTGATCCCCTCATTGTAACGTAACTTACGGGACCTTATTTGAATTGGTGGCAATGGTAAACCCACATGCACGGGCTTACATATAAAATGATGCAAGCTCACATGTCTCTTCCTGAAATAGATGTTTCATTCCCACGCACTGCCATGTGTGTCATGAGCTGCATGGGCAGGACCCTGGCCTGCTCTGTGTCAGAGTAATTGGAGTGTCTTTGGTTGCTGGTTGATTTTAATTAGTCTCTGTCACGTTCATTCACATGTGTGCCACTAGCCACAGTGGTGTTTTTGTTTTTAACAGAGAGGGTGAGCACTGCCGCAGCATGAGTGACATAAGTAGACAAAATAAAATGATCAGATGTGGTATACAATATAATGTATATGAGAGAGACAGTTGGTGTGTTCTAGACAAACATTTTCTGCAGACATGTTTATTATGATGATTCCAGACAAACATTTTCTATTCAGATTTTCTGCAGACATGTTTATTATGATGCTTGTTCTAATACTTGCCCCTTAATATTCCTCTGAACACATCTGAAAGACAAAGCATAATTACAGTGTGATGAGGCGCAAATGCATTGAGTCGCCTGTAGCACTTTCTCGCAGGCCAATTATAAACAACAAGGGTTGAAAAGAAGATTGTCATTGTACATGACTGCTAGGCTGCATAATTTCATATTAGTTCATATTGCTTATTTGTGTGTTGCCATGAGAAGATGTGGAAATGGGAGGCTTATTTGTGTGTTGCCATGAGAAGATGCTGCTTCTGCAATGCTCAGGACACTCCTGTTACAGATTGAACTCTATTACTAGATGGAACATGGCAGTGATTGTTTAATCTTACAGTATATGTAGATTTAAGGTACTTGAAATAGTAGCAGGCATCCTAGAATATAAATGTTGTTATTTTTGCTGTCATTGCGATTTTAAAAATGAAATAAAGTTCTTCCAAGTCCTACAAGGATAGAAGACACATGCAGCTGTTGTGATAGCGAGTCCTACAAGGATAGAAAACCAAAGAAGACACATGCAGCTGTTGTGATAGCAAAAGTTAGTTATTTCATAGTAAGGAAAAAATGTTGAACTTTATTGTACTTCTGCATGTGTAGCAGCAATCTTAAAACGAGGTTTGTGCAATCAAGATAAAGTAGAGTAAAATAAAATGACCTAACTAGACCTTTATAATAAGCAGTAATATCACACAAAGGAACCCAAGCATGTGAATGGCTGTGGTTTAGGCGATACAGATGAATGGGATGAATATGAGTCAGTGTGGTTTTGTCTTCTGTAAGTGTGAAGTGTGCATGAGGGATCTCAGTCCAACATTTTGTACAAATGTGGTAAAACAGTGACTGAAACTTAACAGCTTGAGTGAAGTCCAGGATTGAGAATCAGTCGTGGTGTCTGCAGGGTTCCATTCCAGCTGTTCCTCCTCTTGCCAAGTTGTAGGTTGTCTTCAGTGTCCAGATGTTACAGCTGCAGTAACTGTGTATGATTCCAGCCCCAGTCGAGAACGGAGGCACTGAGGCAGACATGACCACAGAGGAAGAGACATGGGAGCAGAAGGAGGAGCCGGGAGGAGATGGAGGAGGCGGAGGAGAGGAGGACCTGGGGGCCGGAGGAAGATGCGAGGAGGGTGCCACAAGGAAGGAGGATGAGGAGATGATGGAGGAAGAAGAGGAAGAGATGCCCATACCCAAAGTGACTCCGGTACCACCGGACGCCCCCAAGAAAGAACATGTGAATGTGGTCTTCATCGGCCACGTGGGTGCGTCTTGTTTACGTGTCTGTATATTTACATTATTTGATCGGAGAAACATTTTAGAAAGTTTTATTCATCTTATATGATTCCTTCTTGTTTTATTTTGTGTGTGTGTGTCAGATGCTGGCAAATCAACTATTGGAGGACAGATCATGTGAGTGGTTTCTTTTTCATATTCTGTTGCCTGATCCCAGTGCCGAGGGGCTCAACCTATTTTAAATATGGTATCATGTTCCATTATGGTATCATCTGCCATTAAATTGCATAGAAAACTGAAACTGCATTCTGAAAAACAGACTTCATGCATTGAATTGCATAAGCTTTCACAGCTGCAGTATTTAGAAAAGCGGTGCCACTACGGCTGCCAGTGACACTTAACAGGTTGTCGTTTGCACAACAGTATTTTTCATTTTAGGCTTGAGTTTCACAAGCAACATAAGTATAGTATGCCTTGCATGGCTGATATTTTGCCAACTGTTCCTGTCTTTGTGCTTTCCTTGCTAGGTACTTGACTGGAATGGTGGACAAGCGAACCCTGGAAAAATATGAAAGAGAAGCGAAAGAAAAGAACAGGGAGACATGGTGAGAAAGGCTTGCATTGTTTCTAAGATTCTTAAGTTGTTAAGCAGCTAATCAGTGTGGAATTAGATGTGATTTCAGCAGATTTGTCTGTTAGCTTGAACTGTTTTGTTAACAATAAATATTGCTGATGCAGGTATCTGTCGTGGGCTCTGGACACAAATCAGGAAGAGAGAGACAAAGGGAAGACGGTGGAGGTCGGGAGAGCTTACTTCGAGACTGAAAAGAAACACTTTACCATCCTCGACGCCCCCGGACACAAGAGTTTTGTACCCAACATGATTGGTGGAGCATCACAAGCTGACCTGGCGGTCCTGGTGAGATGGACATGCAGCCAACTGTAACTAGCCCACACAGAGATTCTTGGAAGTCAGATATTTTTTTTAGAAATATACTCTGTACATTTAATTGTAAACTCTTCAACTTGTGAGGTGTTTCGTCCAAAGGAGAAGAGTATAGAAACATCCTTGGAACCTCCTCACATCACCACTGGATCATAATCATCCACTGTCCATCTTTATCATATATCTTCTAAATACATTTGCAGGATTTATGTAAAGCAAACCATTCTACTAAATGTTTGTCGCCAAACAATGGAATGACTTTGCCCTGTTTATTGGTTTGTAATCAGGTGATTTCTGCAAGAAAGGGAGAGTTTGAGACTGGCTTTGAGAAGGGGGGACAGACCAGGGAACACGCCATGTTGGCTAAAACGGCAGGAGTCAAGCATCTCATTGTCCTGATCAACAAGATGGATGACCCCACTGTCAACTGGAGCCTAGAAAGGTAAGCAGGGAGAAAAGATTTGTGTTTATGTCAATTGCACTAAACATAGAATTGTTTGGAGAAACGCTGGATACTTGTACAAGACTGGTAGTTTTAATGTGGCAAATCAGTGATGTTACTTATTTGGTGTTTTAGTCCGTAATATCACGTTTTTGTTAACTTGCCACAGGTATGAGGAGTGTAAGGAGAAGCTTTTGCCGTTTCTGAAGAAGGTGGGCTTCAACCCCAAGAAGGACATCCACTTCATGCCTTGCTCCGGACTCACAGGTGCCAACCTCAAGGACCCTGTATCTGAATGCCCCTGGTACACGTAAGTCAGCTCCATGAGTGTGTTTCAGTGGGAGTACAGTGTGTGGGCGGCATATTTTAGACGCTGTATTGTATTTACAGTAATCAGAGGACTGTTCTGACTACATCTTCTGCACCTGCTTTTAAAACGCAACACGTTGTTTCCCTGAAAGCTTACAGCTGTCTACTATAGAAACTACTTGAGCACATTGCCATTAGCACGTGCTTATTCTTCTTTTGACACTACATTCAATCAGGCCAGGTCTCAGTCTCTTTCTCATCTTGCTCTTTGCACAGAGAATAGAAAGGCTCATACAGCGGTTTCCCTCGGTTAACAGATACCTTAGGCACTTTTATTTAGGCACATTCTTCTATCTTTATTGTTACCATTCACAAGAATTACTGACCAACAAGGTTACAGCCTGCTTCACATATTCTTTGTGGAGCCTAAGCTTATCGATGGCTGTAACTACCATCCTGAGTTGAAGGTACAGAGAAATACCCAGTCAGCTGCTGCCACTCACACAGACATTGGTCCAAGATGACTGACAGGTCGCTGCTGTTGCCAGCTTACAGAGCATTTCACTTTGAGATCAAGTCACCTTTGTTATTTTTCAGCACATATAACTCACCTGTGCTTTTCCATTCAATCAGCTTAGGTGCTCCGTAAAAACACTTAGATGCTGAGTGCAAAACGTTCCTATGGTAGAGAAAACCCTGATAAGGGGGTTTGTAAACAGAAAATTAAGGTTGTGTTTAATGTCATACACATTTAAAACTCCAGCTCATGAGCTTGTCAGATGCTTTGGTTTGTATGGAGTTTGGTTTTTCCCCTAATGCTAGCTACAACATCTTTTGCTGCTTCACACTTTATACTCGTGGGTATTTTGCCAGGATGTACATGAATAAGAGTTAGGCTGTCGCAAACCATACGTGTTTGACCAGCGGATACATTAGCTGCACTCATGAAGAAACAGAAGGAGAACAAGTGAGACATTTAATGACTGAGGTAATGGACAATATAGTTTAATAGTAATGGACTTTTTTTTTTTTAAACAGGGGTTTGCCATTTATTTCCCACCTGGACAGTTTGCCAATTTTCACCAGATCCAGTGATGGACCAGTCAGACTACCTATCGTAGACAAGTACAAGGTGAGCAGCTGAATGACTTAGATTCTCTTAAAGAAGAACAACCACAAACCTGCAGCAGCTCATCTTCTCCACTACATTATCCTCAGCAAATGAGTAGACATTAAATTTCTTTTGGTTTTTGTTTACATAGCCAAAATCTTTTTTGCTCCTCTCCAGTTTGTGCACTTTTGGAAAATGACAAACGGGCTTACAGGCACACACCCTAGCTTCTGCATGCTCATTCCTCCTTCAGATATTTCAGCCTCTTGGCACTTGTCTTTGCTTAGATGTTGGAAACAGTTCGGCAGTGTCCGTGCTGGAGGAATTGACTTGTTTTTCATTGCTCAGTTATACCTACATTAATCACCCTCTCTCTCTTTTCATTTACCTGTCATCCTTTATCCTTTTGTTCTTCTGTTATTTAAGTACTCTTTTCTTTGTGCTTGCTTATGTAGCACTTATATAACCAAGTAGTCCCAACTGGTCTGGTTATGGTTCAGTTATCTGCTGAATTCTCACTGTCGCTCAGCCATTAAGTCATATTTACACTGTCAGCAGAAGGGAATCGTATTGTGCAATGTGCTGCTCATGCCTATAAAAACACTACGGTGTTTTGACTTAACGAGATGTGGTGCTGGACTGTTTCTTAGTCAGGCACAGTGACCACCTTGAGCATCCACTGGCTACCTGGCAGTCTCCTGGTCACGACACCAAGCTACCGTGGTATCGATCTTCAGCTGCTTGTCAGCATGAGAGTGGAAAAAAGCCTGTTTTGCTAAATCTTAAATGATTCCTTTAAAGTGTCTACATTAAGGAGCAGCTTTTACTGGATTCTCCTTCAAGCTTCCATGACTTTCTTAAGCCACAGGCCATAGCTTGTGAAACTGGGTGGGAGTCTTTTGAGTTGTTTTGGTTTCTAGTGCTCTGGGCTGCTACTTACAAACATAATCAGCGACATGATGCTTAAAATATAAAACTCGTTGAACCAGTCAGATGGCTCCTGTACTCTGTCTGAAGACTTGGATATACTGGGCAATAGTGTGATCTAACAATGAGAGAAATGGTCACCATTATTGTACCAACAGACTGTTTCAACTGTTCTTTATACACATTAAACTAACTTTGGTCTAATGGTCAAAATACTGTGGTCCATGCAGTTCCCTTCTTCACTGTGTTTTAAAGTAAAAGGTTAACAAACTGAAGAAGACGAGGGTTCTTGTTGTACTGAAGATGTATGAACATTTTAAATCTGTTTAGCTTTTCCCAGATAATGAAGTTAACGTCCATCATCTAGTGGAGCTCAGATTGATTGTTGAATTGAATTACTCTGATCTTTGTCCCTGTGTGTGCACATGTGTTTGAAGGATATGGGCACAGTTATCCTTGGGAAGCTGGAGTCTGGATCCATCAGTAAAGCCCAGCAGCTGGTCATGATGCCGAACAGGGTGAGTTTGCTTCGTCTCACGTGGGACCACTAAACGTGCTTAGAACTAACTTCAAGGCCTTATTCGTACATTCATTCATTCATTGTGCTGTGGACTTGACAGAAAGAAGTCCAGATTCACCCCCAGCACCAGCCATGTATTCAGTTTCATTTACAAATAGCTGTGTATATGTGTTGCAGCACACAGTGGAGGTGCTGAGTCTGCTGAGCGACGACGTGGAGACAGATGATGCAAGTCCTGGGGAGAATCTGAAGTTGAGGCTGAAAGGCATTGAGGAGGAAGAAATCCTGCCTGGTTTCATCCTCTGTAGCCCTGACAACCTCTGCCACTCTGGTCGCACCTTTGATGCACAGGTAAAGACCAAAAGTTGCTGCATGCTGCTGTTCTCCTTTGACTTTCAGTCATTAGTTGTGGGCAAGAATTTGACTCAGATCATTTACGTTAAAGTTTCAGGCAGTTACCGTCTTGATTACTACTCATTATTCTATTTTGATGCCAAAGGACCATATACACCAGAAGTGAATGGTGTGTGATTTTCTTGCACATCAGTGATACACTTTGAACCAGTATTCTGTCAGTGAACCTCTGCATATCAACGACGGCATATTGCTAATTGAAAAGCCACATTTATCTTTTTTTGCCCCAAGGTTGGTTGATTTATTTTTAAAGGATGCATCAGATTCCCCCCCAGCCCCACCCCACCCCACTCTATGTAATGAGCAGATTCAAACCTGCAGGTCAACATCACTTGATGTGGACTTTTGTAGCACAACTTTTTAGAACTTCACACTTGATATTCTCATCGCATGTGGTGTTTTCAATCACCTTCAATAAATGTGCTGTTTTGTATCATTTATTTGTGTTGCTCTTGGTGTGAAAAGACCTTTAACAGATGAACAACACCACCTTCTCCTGTATTGACTCTACTGCTGCTCTCATCTGCTGCTGGTGCATGTGCGTTTTTATGCTGGTTGGCATAACAGCAGCAAATTGTTGGGGTTTGTCCAAACAGGTCTTTGTTGGTGGGGTGACCATGAAACGATCCATTTTAAGGCCAGATGTTTATACACAGCCACTTTGAGCAGGCAGGCAGCAGACTGCTACTGTGATTTGATTTCTTGTTTAGTGTACAGACACAACAGAAGGAACAAAGATGAAGAATGAAGCATTGAAATATTTGGCCTGTGACGGTCTCAGCCCAGCATGGTCCCTGTTGCCTACTAATTTATCAAAGACAGATTCTACTGACGTGGTTGGAAAGTTTTCATTTTGGAGCTTGTTTTTGAACATGTATGCAAACATGGAAAGTGATTATTGAATTTTGTTTTCGAATATAACGGGACTTTCAAATCAACTGATTCTGACATTTATTTTGCATGTTTCCTTCCTTTGTCCTTTCATTTCAGATCGTGATCATTGAGCACAAATCAATCATTTGCCCTGGTTACAACGCAGTTCTCCACATCCACACCTGCATTGAAGAAGTGCAAATCACAGTAAGTTACTGTTCTAGTTTTCTGATCCTGAACATTGTATGATATTAGGTTTTGTCTTGATTCCCTCCTGGTCTGAGGTTAAACTCTTGAGATCCTTATCACAGGCCTTAATCTGTCTGGTTGACAAGAAGACGGGGGAGAAAAGCAAAACACGACCACGTTTTGTTAAGCAGGACCAGGTGTGTATTGCCAGGCTCCGAGCTGCAGGAGTCATCTGCTTAGAGACCTTTAAAGACTTCCCTCAGATGGGGCGATTCACACTGAGAGACGAAGGTAAGCACACTGTGGATGACTGTGTGTGAGTGGCTTTATCTTAGGAAGAGCCAGTGGAGTGTGCACAACTTTCTTTCAGACACCAATGACCTAGCAGAAGTAATACAGTGCCTATAAAAAGTATTCACCCCCTTGGATGTTTTACCCTTTTATTGATTTTATAAATGAATTATCATCAATATAATTTGGCTTTTTTAACACAAAAAAATTACAAAAAACTAAATATAAAATATATATTAAATATATCCACACAGACTCAGTGCTGTGATTGCAGCCAAACATTGTTGCTCTACTAAATACTGACTTGAAAGGAGTGATTAATTTTTATAGGCACTGTAAATGTTGAATTAATGTGCCTCTGTTTACCTCAATTTATGTTTCTAATGATATGAACAAAAGACCTGAATCACCACAATATCCCTCACTTACCTTTATTTCACTCCTCCACCAGGTAAAACTATTGCCATTGGCAAAGTGCTGAAGCTGGTGCCAGAAAAGGACTAAATGCATCAGTGGCAGCATTGCATGGAGTTGATGACCAGAGGAGAAATGCTGCTAAAGCCGACCCAAACAGCTACTCTCTCTACACACAACTATGCTGAAGAGAAGAATGACAACATCACCGAGCGAAGAAGGACAAAGTTGCATCAAACGAAGAAAATGAGACTGAATTAGTTTTTATGACGAACAGTATCAACCGAGAGATCAAGTCCAGTGTGTCAGCTTTCTCATATTGAGAGCTCCGCTATGCCACTAATGTAGCTATATATCCCCCTTCTGTTCTCCCATGGCTAACTGTTCTGTTGGCTGACCACAACTCTTTGTTTTTGTTTTTTTGAATGGAGATGGAGGCTGTGTTAATTGAGTCTGGGGAAGAAACACACAACTAGAGAATGATTTCATACCCTGCAAACGAGCAGAGTTGGCCTGTAATTCTGATTTGCAAAGCACATCTCCCTTTTCAAGAGTGGGAATATCCATTGGATGTTTTATTTGGTTTTAAGGATTGCTGTACCAAAATGTTTAGTGTTGTCTCTCTTCAGGAGATGGTTTAATTGGACTGAGCTTGCATACTATGAACCAAGAATACACACAGCTGTTAAATAATCTGTGCTGAAAATAAACGATCAAGCTTCAACTGAAAGGTTTTGTTTTCCTTGTATTAATTACTCCCCATTTGGGATGGACAGATGTCCAGTGTATCAGTGCTATAATAAAATCTTCACCTTCCCTTTTTAATATTGATAGCACCAAAGCCATTGTGAGGTGATAATTTACATTTTGCCGTGATTGGAAGTATGTCGAATCAGCTATTAGCAGTTCACCCATTAAGAGGTTCACTCACCTACTTCATTACTTTGATACTTAAGAAAAATAAAACATGTTCCAGGCAGGTTCTGAATCGTGCTTTTAAGCTAAAAAAAAAACAGTCCTATGACGATGGACATCGGGGATGATGATAATGTCACGCAGTCTAAGACATTCATCACTGTAAATGTTCATAAATCATCATCACAGACGTTTCACAAAAGCAGATTAGCCCACGTCG